TTTTTGTAAGTTCAACAGGGAATTTCCAATAAAAAATTAAATTTAACCTATAAGATAGGTTGTACCTAATATCGAATAAAAAAAGTGTCGTCGTAACCTAGTCAAAGTCAAGCACGTCGTAACCTGTTTTTGTTTTATTTCGAATAGTCATGTAGCCAATCGAATGACGATGTTAATCTGTGACGCGGGACGGGTGAGACAACGGTCTAAACACTCTCTTTATCCAGATTACTTTTGTTCGGGGTTTCCTTCGTTGTGTATGTACTACAACACATTAAACTTTGGTTCTATTCCGGAGTCCTAGCTGAAATTTTGAACTTGTACCAGTAAAAACAAAAACATTGTTAACGTTATTGTTTTAAATTTTTCATAAAATTTTTCATAAAAAAATTTAGGGCTAGGGCTAAAAAAAGAGGAGCGCTAAGGCTAGAAACTTTTAGTTGCACTAGCCGAGGGCTAGGGGGTTTAGTGCACCTAGCCTAACCCTGTAGAAGATCAGGTCTCACGTAGAAGGTGACGGACTGACACACAAACCTGTCCCCTGAGAAACATGTTAGCGTCGTAACATTGTGTTCTCATCGTGATTTTGTTATGTTTACCCCTTTCTGCTACTTCTTGATTTACTACCGAGGAACTACCTCAAGACGACATCACTGTGGACGAGAGACGAAGAGGACGTCCTGAAAACGGATGCATTGCATGAAGATCGGATCGGGAAAATCGGTATCGGCAAATTGTCAAAATCAAATGATCGGGAGCAAAAAAAGGTGATCGGGACATCCCTAACTCTGACTCTTCATTTAAAGTGGACCTATCATGCTATATTTGAATAATATATTGTAGGGCCATACCTATATAAAACATGTCTGCAAAGTTTTTTTTCAAAATACCAAACAGATCATGCATTTTAGCCATGCCTCATTTCTCTCTATTTGCTCTTTCTTAGCCCTGTTTTTGCAAGGGCTGAATCTGTGAGAAGTCTTCTTCGCTGCTTTTGTGGCAGACTACAGCGCCACCTACAGGCCTGGCATATGTACTACAGCGTCTCCAGCGCTTTCAAACGGCAATGGCCGTGGCTGTCTCCTCCTGATAGGTGGAGAGTTGCCCATATAGGCGGAGCTCCTCGTTCCTGACGTCAGAGATATTTCAAATCTGTATCAGATCCGTTTCAGCCCCGTTTTTAGAGATTTGGGTACGGAGGAAAAGAGAGAGGGTTGTTTTTTCTGACACTTGGTGAGTTCCCTGACACATATTCATGTATAAAAGACGTACAAAAGTGCATTTTGCATGATTGGTCAACTTTAAGTAAAAGTAGAAATACTGCAATCAAAAAGTATTCCATCACAAGTACAAGTCCTGAATTCAAGTAGTACTCATTATGGCTATTTTCACAGTTTTATATTGTTATAGTATTACTCTTTTTGTATCCCTCACAAGTACATGTGAAATCATTTGTACTTTGTCAAGTGGACCTGATTTTATATAAAATACTGGGTTCATTAGTAGTACACAACTTCATCCTGTCATATTAGCAATAAGTGCATTTTGATATGTAATAAGTAGCTAGTAACATACGTCTAGTGAAGTAAAAGCTAACCTATTCGATTCCGAAATGCAATGGAGTAGAAGTTTAGAGTAGCATAAACGGAAATACTCAAGGAAAGTGGAAAAGATGTCAAAATAGTCAAAGTACTTTCCACCACTGCATACAGTATGGTGTCACTAGGGGGAGATGTGACTACACAAACACTGCCTGGCTCAGTTGTGGCTGTGAAAAATGACTTGCAAAGCTTGGAGCTTAGTGGTGAGGCCCCGAGGCAGCGAGCAGGAGGCTGCAGTTCACCTCCACAGCCTGCAGGAGGCTGCAGTTCACCTCCACAGCCAGCAGGAGGCTGCAGTTCACCTCCACAGCCAGCAGGAGGCTGCAGTTCACCTCCACAGCCTGCAGGAGGCTGCAGTTCACCTCCACAGCCAGCAGGAGGCTGCAGTTCACCTCCACAGCCTGCAGGAGGCTGCAGTTCACCTCCACAGCCTGCAGGAGGCTGCAGTTCACCTCCACAGCCAGCAGGAGGCTGCAGTTCACCTCCACAGCCAGCAGTAATGACTGAGGGATTACGCAAATAACTGCCGAGTGACCTGTCACTTTAAGGAAAATCTCTGCTCTTCACAACGGCTGAAGTGGTCCAACCAGTTTCTGTCTGTAAGGTTGTAGCTCAAAGTGGAGCTCCAGACAGTTGGGTGCATTTGATCAGTGTTAAAATAATGACAATGACTGTGGCTGACGGGTTACAACGGGCCAAAACACTTCTGTTGAGAAAACAAAAACGATGCAAATGAAAAAACACAAATGTGCCAAAACATGCAAATGAAGAAACATCTTCGCCACATTGACAACAAATGCACAACATTTAGAAAGCAGTTTCTGTTTTGAGTCTTTCCAGTGTTTTTTTATTTGCAGCGTTTTGCGTTTGCAACCTTTCGTTTATGCAGCGCTTTGAGTAAATGCTGTGCATGTTGCATCATTTTCATGTGTTCTGGCAGATTGGTATTTTTTTTTTTTTTATCGTTCTTGAATGTGCAGTGGGTTTCTCCTAATGTAAGAGTTTTGGGCTGTTGTACCGTGTTTTCACCTCCGGGCCACCGTAGGAATAATGCAAAATTTGAATGAGTTTTGGGTAATGAACTGAATTAATATAGCCCTTTTCCCCCATTCCTAAACACCATTAAAAGTGCATTTTAGAGATACAAGTCAACATTCACCCATTCATACACATTCATACAGAGGTAGAGGATGCCATACAGCCTCACACACAGTTGGCCTTGTCATCGAAAGCAATGGGGGTTCAGCATCTTCGACATGTGGACAGCAGGGGCTGGGAATTGAACCACTGACCTTAGGATTGACAGACTATTTTACATTTAAAGTAGCCCTTATGTGTGCCTAATGTATGACACAGTTTGCACAGATGTTTACTCATGACTTCTGACAATACATTTGAAATTGTGCTGGTAAATCTCATCCCATCAAAACAGAATCAAGGGAAGACGCTTAAACAATAAAATGAGACGTGAAGACAAGAGGAAAAATGCAAAACAACAATCCTAATTCTTTACTTTGATTTTGAAGGCTCTTTTGAAGCCGCTGGCAAAGAAGCCGCCGAAAGGCCCGATGAGAGACCCGAAGGAGGAGAGGAAGATGCTGTGGATCTGGAAGGGGTACAGGTTCACCGTTTTCTATAACAGAGAGAAGAGGACACGCCTGTGATTGGATGGAAAGTCCTCGCTCTGATCTTCTCTCTGTCCGGATATTGATATTGTGTGAAAATAATCGAAATAACGGCAAAGCATATCGGGATTTATCAGAATAATAAATAATGTATTAATCCATTATAGAATGAATAAAATAAAAATATAAATAGAATGTACATTTTTTTTATTAATTAAAAGTAGCAATAGTGAATTGTAAAAATACACAGCTGCAAGAAAAGTCTTACATTCAAAATTCCTACATTTAAAAGTATTATCAGCAACATGTACTTAAAAGTAAAAATACTAACTGAAGAAATAAATATGTCATTTCGTATTTATAATGCAACATTATTCATTGTTGCATTAAGTAGCATTTTAGTGTTGTAGACAAATAAAGTGTTGATCCACACAATATTGATGTAAAGAACTTTTGAAATAAATGCTATAATTTAACTTGTTTTGTAACTGCAACAGTTACATTAGTTATATCTTTAGAGATGCATTATTTTCAAAGTGTATTACATGTTTTTAATGCAAAATCTGAAAGGCGATCAGACCTGTTAGACCTAAATGAGTGGAGTAAAAGTATAAAGCAGCATTAAATGAATAAACTCAACTAAAGCACTTCAAATTCGTACTACTAAATATACTCAGTTACTTTCCACCACCGTGTATCATTTAATATAGGAATAAAGAATGTGCAATAAAAGATCAAATAAGATGCATAAACATTGTTTATGCATCTTATTTGATCTTTTATTGCACATTCTTTATTCCTATATTAAATGATACACGGTGGTGGAAAGTAACTGAGTATATTTAGTAGTACGANATGCACAACGCACCCAGGAACGAACGCTAGCTCCGGTCCTTTTCCCGTGAGGGAAACTGTGGACTCGATGTCCTGACAGGCTGGTATTTGTGCAACCTGCACAAACACAATACTGCACCATGATTACAAATGGTGAAATACAATGTAAAACTACCAAAAAATACCAGCTCACTAAAACACAACCGCTCTACTCAACGCAACTCTACTATACCCGCGGTCAGAGAGCGGAGATGTGTCCCCTGTGTGATGTAATATGACGCGTTTGACGTATGACCTTAAAAAAAACCAGTTTTTAAGAGCAGAGCTCAAAATTGCTCGTTTCCCTCTGAATTCCTGCCCTTGTGTCTCGTAAAACATATCAAATCCTACATTCACTTTTTTAATTGTAATTTTCAAGCAAGTTTAAGCATAAATGTAGAAAAAAAAAAAAACCTGCAAGATGCTCTTTAAGCTGGTCTGGAAGTAAACAAAAGATCGAAAGTCTTTATCAAACATGCATGATACAATGCTAGCGCTGCTTGCTAACTCACCTAGCCATCACCATCGATATGTATCAATGTGTTTATTTTGTATCGCTGATATTGGGTAGTTATACTTGAATCAACATTTCAATTCCAATCGATGGATGGTTTCACCCCCATTACCCTGTTCCTACACCGTGGCATTCTTACTGTACACCGCTCAAGGACATTTGCACACACACACACACAGTTTTAACCCGCAGCTGTCTAATGGATAAGACGTCAGAGTCAATTCTAAAATCGATGCTATTACCTTCTGTGCCTAGCCACTGTGAAAATTATATCTTCAAATGATCAATGTCTGAGCATTCTTCAGGTCACACATGCACACACACGTGCACACGTTTGCTCATCACGTAGTTATCTTAAGGATAATGGAGGTGGGTGAAGGAGACGGTGAAAGTCATAATAGGTTTTTGATTAACTGCATTGATTCAACAGAGATAAACTGGCTGGCTGGTTTGCGTTGGTTGTGTGTGCTTGTCATGAGATTAGACAGCTTTATTTGGTAGGACCACCATGATGTGAACAGTAATACTTGCAACGTCAATTTTATATCAAAAATAAAGGTTTCAGTATTCATTGAATTAACTGTTTTTGACTTTTTTCCTCCCACACTTGTCTTCAGAGTTCAAATCGTTTGAAGGGTACCTATTTGCTGCAACTGTGCCTGTAGCGCTGCATAATAAATGCACATACTCAAACATAGAAAACCATGTTTTGCACACACCCACGCACAAACACACACACACAATCTGTCGGACATATTCTCCTGCCCAACGAAGACACAAAACATCACTGACAGCCTATAAATCGTTGCCACACTCCGTTGCACACACAAGCATAAGCAGTTGGCAGCAGCGAGCTGGTAATAAGTTAAAGGGACATGGGAGGAAAGTGCTTGTCGTGCAGAAATTACCAACAATGATGACAGCTCTGTTAATTTCTCCCTGATAGCCTGGTGTCTCCATGAGAGTATTCACATACAGTTACCACAGTTTCAGACACCATGTGTGTAGCTTCACATAGCGTGTTTACACAACAGAGGTTACAGGTTACTTTCTAAAGCCTTCACCCTTAATTGTTTTTATTTCATTTGAAAAAGCGTTCCCCGAGCTAAACTGCAGAGACAACACTTTGATAATGATGTTGTTGATTGTGGAGCTGCTTCTTAAGCTGTCCCTGGAAACATTTGTAAGTATTTGGGATGGTAACTTTTCTTTTTCACAGCATGGAGCCCTTAATCCAAATAAAAATTATTTTAGAGAAGTCCAACGGAGGGAGTCACTTATTCAGAGAAAATTCACTAAATTCAAAATGGCATGAAACGCTCTTTGAAAGGCTTGCTTAGGGAGGGGGAAATATCAATCAATGTAGTACCATTTGAATAAGTTTGCTTGAAGTTTTGAGGCTGATGGCAGTGGCGTGACGCACACGAGAGGATTTTCAAATCTACAGACATAATGACAGGTTGAACCCATTTTGTATATTAAGGACCACATTCTGTTGGCGACAGAAGGTTGGACTTGCGTGCTATGTTTGGCAATGGAAAGAAAGTCATACCGTTGTAATGCCATATCTCAACAAGCCTTTCTTCTTCTTATCACTGTCCACTTGGCTCGTGTATTGGCGACTACAATATTCATCATGATACACGTGTTGCAACACTGTAAGCAAGTCAATATATTGCCATTTTAATAAATGATTGATTCTGTAGCATCCAACATCTGAGCTACTGTCTGACAAAAGTCCTCTCAAGAAAGATATCATTGAGTAATTATAGGTATATGGTCTCTTCAAGGGGACAGGAGCACAACATATTTCGATACTTAAGTGTATCTGTATTTTCTTAGCTCAGGAGAGTAACGTTTTATTCCTTCTGTGGGCAGTCATGTTTCTATTAACACTACTACACAGCAGCAAGTCGGGGACACTTCCAGGTCGGCTCACCAATATTGGCTTTTCCAGGATCCTGCTCAATATTCAATTGCCAATCCAGTTGATAACATTATGTCTGTAATACCTCATACTAAAGGAGAATGTGGACAGATAATCTCTTCAGATGAGCACTGAATACGAAATACATTGTCCCAATTATCCGTTTGTGTGGCGCCAGCATTGGACAAATGCGTATTCCTTGGAGAAGATCACCTATTATTCATAAATGCCCACTGGTGACACACACACACACACACACACACACACACACACACACACACACACACACACACACACACACACACACACAAGAAGCCAGTTAACCCAGTCACACACACACACACACACACACACACACACACACACACACACACACACACACACACACACACACACACACACACACACACACACACACACACACACACACTGACTTACATGCATTTCCTGGAGACTTATCCTAACCTTAACCATAACACACCTAACCCTAACCAAGTCTTCACCCTAAAATTAATGATTCCCCTCCCTTATGTCCCCATAAGGAAGGTGAGTCCCCACACGTGACTGTGTAAACAGATGTAGGTCCCCACAAGGATAGTAATGC